GTAACCCCCCCCCCCCCACATGTAAAGTTTATTATTTATTAAGTAGTAGTAGATCTAGAGGTTTTACGGCACTCGCAACTGCATAAGGTCATATGAACGCTTATGGGTGGATGTCAACTGGTATCCTCTCTAGCTTCAATAACACAAAATCTGCTTCGACTCTGAATGCACCCCGGAAATAGCGGGTCACAAGAGTGTGACAAACATACAAAAGAAGTAGAGGAAAATGACGATAGTAAGGATTAGGAAAGAAAAATCAGCAGTTCCGTGTTGTAGATCAGGCACGGTTATGAGCATGCCATTAATGAATCAGCCCATTTACAATTCTACTGTCCATGAACGAGAAATGTCCCCCCTCTGGGAATGGCCTAAAGACACTTCAGTCAGTGGCACCGCCCCGGGGGGTTTCTATGTAAAGAAAAGAGGCCAAGTATCCACAACAATAATAACAATGCGTGTGGGTGGTTGATGATGTAGGCGCTCTAGTGTGGCCCGAGAATTTCGTGTGGCTTGCTCTCTCTTTCCTATATATGTATAGATAGATAGATAGATAGAGAGAGAGAGAGAGAGAGAGAGAGAGAGAGAGAGAGAGAGAGAGAGAGATATATATATATATATATATATATATATATATATATATAGATAGATAGATAGATAGATATATATCCTTAACTGAATCCTGGGTCAAACAGTAACAGAAACCTGTCTTAACGGAATCCCCCACCCCCACCCCCCTTGTTAAATTCCTCTTTTATTTCCTCTATAAGATGGAAACCTGTATAACGCGGAGACGGAAAGAGAAATCCTTTAAAGACGGAAATGTTTTGCCCATTCAGGCCTGATTAGAAACAAAAAATACTATCAAGTTTGAGTTTGGTTCAATCGGCTGTAACTCTAACCTTTATTCTTATGCCATGCCGCCAGGCGAGGAAAGGGAGTAGGGGTGGCATTTGAGGGCAGATCAAGGCAGATATTACACCCTTAGTGGTGCAGATGGTCAGGGTAGTGAAGGTGTGAAATCTCACCAGTGCCTGTGAAAGTCCTCGAGGGGCGCTGAAGCACGGAAACTTTCATGAGTAGCCAGAGGCCAGAGGTGTGAAATTAGTTTGACCAATGCCTGCAACCCTGATTGTAAGGCCAGCCGAGGAAAGAGTTCCTCGAATCGTTGTTGCATGCACGGGAGGGGTGGCATTGGCTGACTGTTGCCTATTACACCGATGGGTGGGGCTAAAGGTGGAAGCAAATGAGATGTTCAAATTCAATACGTCAGGCGTGCCCCTATGAGATGCGAGTACTGGTGGCAATGGATTAGTTGGACTGATGCATGCCATTATCAGAGTGGAGAGAGAGAGGTGCAAAGTTCTGACAACTGCTTGCCGACCGGGCAAGCATCCCTTGATCCCACAGGCTGGGGGCCCTCAGCATCCGAATTTAAGGATTATTATTAATCGTCGGTATATTTTGTGTGTTCTCTTGTGGTTTTTTGTTTTCCGTCGTGCCCCGCGCCCCCCCTAGCACTGTTCCTCAACGCTTTGTGCGCCGTGCCCTTGTTTCTGAATTGAGATTGCATTACCATTGCTGCGTTTCAGTCGCTGTTTTAGTTGCTGGCGTTAGGTATTCGTTCTGCGAGAGGGGCGGGGGCTGGCGAGGAGCTGCGTGTGCATGAGGTGATTGGGCAGCTTGTATAACCAGTTAGTCTAAGTAAAACTTAGGTAAAAAAGCTTCACTAGATCTGCGGTTGCTCCCCTGCAGGCTGCCCGTAAAGCATCCGCTGTGATTTAAGGCAAGCATGGCAGCTGGAATATTGCATACCGTTTTAGCTAGAATAACGTATATGAGATCATGTAAAGCAGTAGTTCCATATATATTG